CTGTCATTTAATCTTGACATATGTGGGAGCTGAACATGATTACAAATGGGGAAACTGAGGCTGAGGAGACATAGGGAGTTGGCCTCAGGGAGACCGGGAAGCTAGGCCTGTATAGTTCCAACCTGTTTCCTGGCCTATACCTGACCTTCCATCTCCTCCACTCCAGCCCCTCCCCCACCATTTTTCTGCATTTTTTTTTTTTTTTTGGGTCCGCTCGTGGGCCCTGAACTCTGGGCCTGGGCGCTGCCCCTCAGCTCTTCAGCTCAAGGCTAACGCTCTACCACTTGAGCCACAGCTCCACTTCCGGCTTTTTTCTTTTTGCTTATGTGGTGCTAAGGAATTGAACCCAGGGCCTCATGCATGCAAGGCAAGCGCTCTACCACTGAGCCACCTTCCCAGCCCCATTTTTCTGCATTTTAAATTCTCTAATGCTTTTCCAATCCAGGCAGCCTCTGACTTAATTCAGCCCAAGGGAAGCTGCTGTTCCCACTCAAAAGCAAGGGAATGGGGGTAGAGGTGAGGGAAAGGAGCATTAGGGACTGGCAGGTGGGCGCCGGGTCCTGGTCTGTGGTCTCTGCCACCTCTAACCAGCTCACTGGCCAGTCAGCGGTGCACCTGAGGTTTCCAGCCTTCCTCCTCCTCCTCTTCAGCCTGCCAAGTCCTTCCTTGCCAAGAACCTGCAGTAGTCTGCCTGCCCCATGGTGCCCAGCACACAGCCCCTAACTGCAATCCCAGCTCGTCTATGAAGTCGGTGGGGAGCCGTAAAGCCTTTTTAAAGGGGCAATAAAAGTTTTGGGTTTCAGATCTCTTCCTGGAGAAGAGAATAACAGAGACAGGAAATCTCAGTAGCAGACAAGGCAGAGCCCGGCATGCAGTCTACCCTGAGACGAAAACACATCCTCGGTCGTGGTGGGGGAAGGGCAGTGCTCTTCGGGCCCATCGCCTCGCACCGGCTCATCGCCTCGCACCGGCTCATCGCCTCGCCCCGGCTCGGGAGTCAGAGGCTGCACTGTTTTGTCTACGCCTATTATAAATGTTTATCAATCCTTTCTGTAAGCTGTTGGCAGCTCCCTGCCCTGAGCTGAGCCCTAAGGGAGTGTGCCAGGATGCTGTGTGTGTGTCTAGCATGGAGCATATGTGTGGTTGGGACCGGGCCAAGGCCAGGCATGCTGACCGGAGCCACTGGGCTGGGCTGCCACTCACGGGAAGCCACCTCCAAGCTCAGGACCTACCTATGCCTTAGTGTTAGAAATGGCTCAGCATGTGCCAGACACTGGTGGCTCACGCCTGTCATCCTAGCTACTCAGGAGGCTGAGATCTGAGGATCCAAGTTCCAAGCCAGTCCAGATAGGAAACTCCATGAGACTCTCATCTCCAATCAACCATTAAAAAGCCGGAAGTGGAGCTGTGGCTCCAAGTGGTAGAGTGCTAGCCTGCCTTGGGTACGTAAAGCTCCGGGGCAGCAACTAAGGTCCTGAGTTCAAGTCCCAGGACGGATACAACAAACAAGAAAGAAATGACCCCATCTGAGAAGATACTACTCCTGCCTGTGTCCTACAGCAAGGCCATGGTCAGAGCCGGGGCTGCGGCCGCTCGGCTCCGTCCCTTTGTTTTAACCATGATTTCCCAAGCCCAGATGTGCAGAGAACCGCTCCTGCTCTCCTTTCTCACAGAAACTGTCCGGCATGGGAGCTCCAGCTACATGGGCAGAGCTGCGGGCAAATACAGGAGAGCAGACAGGGCTCAGGTTGAGTTTCTGATGTACAGCGAGTCATTTCTTAGTGTAACTTTGTCTCCTGGAAGGATGGGCCAGAATATCCATGAGGACAAGGGACAGAGGCAGACCCAGCCTGAGCCACACAGGACCCAGTGCTTGTGACATGACAGGAGACGGACCAGTCATTGCACGGCTCTGATGCGCTTTGCAGCCTGGAATCCACCTGCAAGCCCACTGTGGCTCTTGAAGCACTGATTACCACTTGTGTGCTCCGATTGCCTTCATGCCAGCTGCCTTGCAGATGCTCAGCTGCCCCAAGTGGCTGCTGCAGGGGACTGTCCCGCGTCCTTGGACCGTCAGAGCTCTGTCCAGAGCCTGAACTTCTGCGATGGTCTTGGAAGGTCTTTCAGGCTCCAGGCACCTCGATTCTCAGATTCCAAGGAAACCTCAGAGCTTTACCTCTCCGGCATGCAGATATGTTGGTGAGTAAAGGCCTTGACAGTGCTTTCTTGCTACATTTTGGGGGAGAGGGGGAGGCGAGGGGCGGGTGGTACTGGGGCTTGAACTCAGGGACTGGGCGCTGTTCCTGAGCTTTTTTGGCTCAGGGCTGGTATTCTAGCACTTGAGCTACACCTCTTTTTTTGGCTTTTTGGTGGTTAATTGGAGATAAATGTTTCATGGACTTTCCCACCCAGTTTGGCCTAGAGCTGTGATCCTCAGATCTCAGCCTCCTGAGTAGCGCGGACCCACCAGGGTCCAGCCTCTGGCTACTCTTAAAATGGCAGTGTGGTTCTGAGAGTCAAGAGAACAGGGCAGCCCTTCCCTTCCTGCCCTTCTTTCCCTTCGCACTAGCCAGTCTCAAGATGCGGGCCACCAAAGGACACAGCCGCAGTGACTGGCGAGGTCCAGGGCTCCATCACCAGCCTGGCAGCCACGGCACACACTGCCAGCAGCTCTGGCCCTCAAAGTGGGCTCTGGGCTCTCAAGGGTGCCTCTTGGGGCCCGCATGGGAGGAGGAGGCAGCGTCTGAAGCGTTAGCAGCAGTGGCTGGGGCTGGAGTGCGTCTCCTAATTGTCCGTGACTTACAGACTTGGCCACACGCCCGGACGGCCTTCATAAATCAGCAGTGGCACGGTGGGGAGCCCGCCCACGTGGCCCTCAGGTCTGGGCAGTGGGACCTCTTCCTGGTCGGGAGCACCCAGCTGCCTTCCATGCCCCGAGAGTCATTACAGAGCCAGAGGCTCTGGCTGGGCGTACTTGCTGGAGGCTGGGGGGACTGAGGTGGTCTCAGGCTGCTCTGCAGACCCGTGTTTTGTTTCCGTGCCTGCACCAGGGCTTGGGCAGCTGTCCCTTCCCTTTCTCGCTCAAGGTTGGCGCCTCACCTCCACTTCTGGCTCTTTTGGTGGTCAACTAGGGACAAGAGTCTCATGGACTTTCCTGCCTGGGCTGGCTTTGAACCTTGATCCTCAGACCTCAGCCTCCTGAGCAGCTGGAGTTTTAGACACCTGCTTCTTGAGGCCCCAGCCTCCCACCCTGCCTGCCTCTCCCCTCCAGCCCAATGGAGACCCAGCACTCTGCCTTCTGGAAGCTGGAGATGAGCCAGAGCAAAACCTGGGGTCTGAAACACACTGACCCTTCATGGTGTGTGTGTGCATGGGTGATGGGTGTGCGTGTGAGGTGTGTATGTACAAGCGTGTACACATGTTTCTGTGGAAGCCAGCCAAGGCTGGCTGTGTTGGCACAGGGCTGGGGTACAGCGGGGCCTCGTGTCTCTGTCCTTGGCCCTAGGATGGCCTCGCCTCTGCTCCCTTCCGGCTGGCCTCGGCACTCCAGACGGTGGAGCTGCGCTTCCGCCTGGGATCGTGGGAGTGAGACCTCTGTTGTCAGGCCCGAGGGGGCCCCAGGCATGGGGTGCTGATGTCCAGGGTGTGTTGTGGAAAGGTCTGGGGCCCAGCAAGAGCTGATGCCTGCAGGGGCTCTGCTTGTCACTAGGGCTCAGGGGGGTGGGGCGGAGACACCCGGAGTTCTGCGAGGCCAGCAGCTGTAAGGTGAGCTGAGGAGTCAGCCAGGCACAGGGGCCCGGTGGGCTGGTCCCTGGTCCCCAACCCCAGGTGCAGAGCCGGCTCCTTCCCAGCCCCCAGGGTACTTGGGAGGTGATGCTGGGACAACTCACAGCTTCCCAGTGGGTGTGGCCAGCAGATCCTTAGCTGTGACACCATCTGGAAACATAAACAGGCCCCAGACAGGTGTAGGTAACTTCCTGCCCACAGATGGGGCTTGGGTCACAGGGAAGCTGGCAGCCTGGGTATGAGCCGGGAGGCTCAGGCTTGTGAGGTGATGTCTGGAAGCCTCTGCCCCTCCCCACTCCCACCTCTGAGTTTCAGCAACAGACGGGGCCTTCCCGCTGCATGGCAGAGCCCCAGGGACGGAGCCTTGGCCCAAGGCTCTGCACCCAGCCACCTTGCCCTGGGGGCCCGCGCAGGGCCGCCAGCCAGTGTGAAGTGCCAGAACTGAGCTCAGCCTCCCGCAGTGGTCCCTGCCAGCCGCAGGCACAGCTCTGTGCCCACCAGTGCTGGGCCTTCCTTAGGACCAGAGTGATAACTATGCTCACAGATTTAAGAATCAGGACGTGTCTCAAGTTTGGTGGAGAGTCGATTGGCAAAGTGGGGCACTTCAGGTGGATTCTTGTCACTGAAAAGGCTGTTCCAGCACCCAGCGGGGCAATGGGGTGGAGGGAGGGACAGGGCTGGGCCTGGGGCAAGGCTGGCTGGGCTGGCCCCAGCCTCCTGGACGGGGACTCTCTCTCTCTGAGCTATCCCCTGACAGAAGCCACAATGCCTGTATCCAGGAGGGAACAGATGAAATGGGCCTGCTGGGGTGGTGGGTGGCTTGCTCTGTGCCTCTGTGCCCAGTATCTGAAGGAGGGAGGGCAGAGGGAGGGCTGTGGGGAGGGCAGGCACTGGCCTTAGGGTGGTGCCAGGCACACCTGCCACTCATGAGGCCCCGGAGGACAAAGCCATTCATTTCCAGCCAAGTGCTGGGCACCTAGTAAACAGAATAAGTGGGTTCCTAGGGAGCATGTGGCAGAAGATGGCACATCCAATCCCGGGGACCCTCGGGGACACAGAAGAGACAGTGTCTTCTGGGTAGCCAGTGGGGGAAGAAAGACAGGGGAAAATCCTCCGAAGGGTCTAAGGCGATCAGATGGGAGAGAGGGAGGGAGAGAGGGAGGGAGAGAGGGAGGGAGGGAGAGAGGGAAGGGCTTGGAGTTGGGGGCTCCCAGTCAGACACAAGCACAACAAAGGGTGGAGAAGTTCAGCTTGGCTGGGGCCCCGGCGTTCCCAGCCTTCTTGTTGACCTTGGGCAGCAGCAAGACAAAGGCCATGGCCAGAGCACAGTGGTAGAAGCTGTGCACGTAGGTGTAGTCCCAGTCCTGCGGGGAGAGGCAAGTCAGAGCTGCTGCCCTGTGAGGCTGCGGCCTGCGCCGACCCTGTGTCCTCCGGGTCCGTTGCAGGTCCCTCAGGACAGCCCTGAGAACATAGCCGCTCCCACCACCAGACCCCAAGCCCCCACTGCACGGAAGGCCCGTGCGCCAGCAGGGAACCCCTCCCTTCTTCCTTCCCTCCCTCCTTCAGATCCTGGCACCCGCCCAGGGACTCCTTCTAGAGGTGGACAGGACTGTGTGTTCTTTCATAGTGGAGCCTCTCTGTGAAGTCACAGCCCCCAGCGGCCCTCCCCGCCAGCGTGGCAGGGCCATGCTCATTAGAGCTCACATGTGTCTACCCCCCCGCCCCCCCCCCCCCCGGCTCCCATACCTCGAAGAAGAAACGCAACATCAGGGCCAAGGCCCCAAAACAGAGGCCGGGGCCTATCTGCTGGGTGTAGACACTCTTGTCAGGGTACAGACCCTTCTTCTCCTTCATCTTCTGTAGCTATGGGGAGGGATGGAACATTCTAGCACAGCATGAGAAAGCTCCCTCCCTAGCTGGCTGATGGGCCTGCATGTACCCGCCCCCAAGCTGGTCATCATCGGAACCAGTGGAACTCCTGACCTGGGTGACAGGGCTTTGGGGAACCTCTGGGTTAATGCCCCGGGCCTGCTCCCCCCCTGGCTCCTTGTTCATCTCCCAGCCAGAAGAGAGCCATCGCAGGAGCACTGCTTACAGTGACCCTGGCCACGCATACTCTGAGGAGGGGGGAGCCAGTAGGCTTTGATAGCACCCTGACATTCATTGTCCAGTTTGCCAGTTAGGGAGTCCTCTCAAGTTTGCTAGATTATTCCACGAGCATGTTTGTCCTGATTTCTCAGGTGTAGCTCTGTCTGGGATTCAACTTAGAAAGTAGGGGAGAAACAACTTGGGGCCTGGGGACAGCCTCACACAGAAGACAGCCTCACACAGAGGACAGCCTCACTCAGAGAACAGCCTCACACAGAGAAGAGCCTCACACAGGGGAGAGCCTCACACAGAGGACAGCCTCACACAGGGGACAGCCTCACACAGAGGACAGCCTCACACAGAGAGCAGCCTCACACAGAGAACAGCCTCACACGGGGGACAGCCTCACACAGAGAACAGACTCACACAGAGGACAGCCTCACACAGAGAACAGCCTCACACAGAGAACAGCCTCACACAGGGGACAGCCTCACACAAGGGACAGCCTCACACAGGGGACAGCCTCACACAGAGAACAGCCTCACACAGAGAACAGCCTCACACAGAGAACAGCCTCACACAGAGAGCAGCCTCACACAGAGAACAGCCTCACACGGGGGACAGCCTCACACAGAGGACAGCCTCACACAGAGAACAGCCTCATACAGAGAACAGCCTGACACAGGGGACAGTCTCACACAAGGGACATCCTCACACAGGGGACAGCCTCACACAGAGTATAGCCTCACACAAGGGACAGCCTCACATGGGGACAGCCTCACAAAGAGTATAGCCTCACATAAGGGACAGCCTCACATGGGGACAGCCTCACACAGAGAACAGCCTCACACAGAGAACAGCCTCACACAAGGGACAGCCTCACACAGGGGACAGCCTCACACAGAGAACAGCCTCACACAGGGGAGAGTCTCACACAAGGGACAGCCTCACACAGGGGACAGCCTCACACAGAGTATAGCCTCACACAAGGGACAGCCTCACATGGGGACAACCTCACACAGAGAACAGCCTCACACAGAGAACAGCCTCACACAAGGGACAGCCTCACACAGGGGACAGCCTCACACAGGGGACAGCCACACACAGGGGACAGCCTCACACAGAGGACAGCCTCACACAGAGAACTGCCTCACACAGAGAACTGCCTCACACAGGGGACAGCCTCACACAGAGAACAGCCTCACACAGAGAATAGCCTGACAGAGGGGACAGCATCACATAGGGAACAGCCTCACACAGAGAGCAGCCTCACACAGGGGAAAGTCTCACACAGAGAAAACCCTCACACAGAGTATAGCCTCACACAAGGGACAGCCTCACACAGGGGACAGCCTCACAAAGAGAACAGCCTCACACAGAGAACAGCATCACACAGAGGACAGCCTGACACAGGGGACAGCCTGACACAGGGGACAGCCTCACACAGAGAACAGCCTCACAAAGAGAACAGCCTCACACAGGGGACAGCCTCAAACAGAGGACAGCCTCACACAGGGGAAAGCCTCACAAAGAGGACAGCCTCACACAGGGGACAGCCTGACACAGGGGACAGCCTGACACAGGGGACAGCCTCACACAGGGGACAGCCTCACACAGGGGACAGCCTCACACAGAGAACAGCCTCACACAGAGGACCGCCTCACACAGATGACAGCCTCACAGAGGAGCAGTCTCACACAGGCAACAGCCTCACACAGAGAACAGCCTCACACAGAGAGCAGCCTCACAAAAGGGACAGCCTCACACAGAGGACAGCCTCACACAGAGGACAGCCTCACACAGGGGACAGCCTCACACAGAGGACAGCCTCACACAGAGGACAGCCTCACACAGGGGACAGCCTCACACAGGGGACAGCCTCACACAGAGGACAGCCTCACACTGGGGACAGCCTCACACAGAGAACAGCCTCACACAGACAACAGTCTCACACAGAGGACAGCCTCACACAAAGAACAGCCTCACACAGGGGACAGGCTGACACAGAGGACAGCCTCATACAGGGCACAGCCTCACACAGGGGACAGCCTCACACAGAGGACAGCTTCACACAGGACAGCCTGATACAGCCGACAGCCTCACACATAGAACAGCCTCACACAGGGGACAGCCTCCCACAGGGGACAGCCTCCCACAGAGTACAGCCTCCCACAGGGGACAGCCTCACACAGGGGACAGCCTCACACAGAGAACAGCCTCACACAGAGGACAGTCTCATACAGAGAACAGCCTCATACAGAGAACAGCTTCACACAGAGGACAGCCTCACAAAGGGGACAGCCTCACACAGAGAACAGCATCACACAGAGAACAGCCTCACATAGAGAACAGCCTCACACAGAGGACAGCCTCACACAGAGAACAGCCTCACACAGAGAACAGCCTCACACAGGGGACAGCCTCACACAGAGAACAGCCTCACACAGAGGACAGTCTCATACAGAGAACAGCCTCATACAGAGAACAGCTTCACACAGAGGACAGCCTCACAAAGGGGACAGCCTCACACAGAGAACAGCATCACACAGAGAACAGCCTCACACAGAGAACAGCCTCACACAGAGGACAGCCTCACACAGAGAACAGCCTCACACAGGGGACAGCCACACACAGGGGACAGCCTCACACAGGGGACAGCCTCACACAGAGAACAGCCTCACACAGAGAACAGTCTCACACAGGGGACAGCCTCACAAAGGGGACAGCCTCACACAGGGGACAGCATCACACAGAGAGCAGCCTCACACAGAGTACAGCCTGACACAGGGGAAAGCCTCACACAGAGCAACCTCACACAGAGGACAGCCTGACACAGGGGACAGCCTCACACAGAGGACAGCCTCACAGAGAGAACAGCCTCACACAGAGGACAGCCTCACACAGAGGACAGCCTCACACAGGGGACAGCCTCACACAGAGTACAGCATCACACAGGGAACAGCCTCACACAGAGAACAGCCTCACACCGGGGATAGCCTCACACAGAGAACAGCCTCACACAGAACAGCCTCACACAGGAGACAGCATCACACAGAGAGCAGCCTTACACAGAGAAAAGCCTCACACAGAGAACAGCCTCACACAGAGAACAGCCTCACACAGGGGACAGCCTCACACAGAGGACAGCCTCACACTGGGGACAGCCTCACACAGAGAACAGCCTCAAACAGAGAACAGTCTCACACAGAGGACAGCCTCACACAGAGAACAGTCTCACACAGAGGACAGCTTCACACTGGGCATAGCCTGATATAGGGGACAGCCTCACACAGGGGACAGCCTCACACAGGACAGCCTGACACAGGGGACAGCCTCACACATAGAACAGCCTCACACAGGGGACAGCCTCACACAGAAAACAGTCTCACACAGAGGACAGCCTCACACAGGGGACAGCCTCACACAGGGGACAGCATCACACAGGGGACAGCCTCACACAGAGAACAGTCTCACACAGGGGACAGCCACACACAAGGGACAGCCTCACAGAGAGAATAGCCTCACACAGAGAACAGTCTCACACAGAGGACAGCCTCACACAGGGGACAGCCTCACACAGGGGACAGCCTCATAAAGAGAACAGCCTCACAAAGAGAACAGTCTCACACAGGGAACAGTCTCACACAGGGGACAGCCACACACAGGGGACAGCCTCACACAGAGAACTGCCTCACACAGAGAACTGCCTCACACAGGGGACAGCCTCACACAGAGAACAGCCTCACACAGGGGACAGCCTCACACAGGGGACAGCCTCACAGAGAGGACAGCCTCACACAGAGGACAGCCTCACACAGAGTACAGTCTCACACAGAGGACAGCCTCACACAGAGGACAGCCTCACACAGAGGACAGCCTCACACAGAAAACAGCCTCACACAGAGAACAGCCTCACACAGAGACAGCCTCACACCGGAACAGTCTCACACAGAGGACAGCCTCACACAGAGAACAGCCTCACACAGGGGATAGCCTCACACAGGGGACAGCATCACACAGAGGACAGCCTCACACAGGGGACAGCCTCACACAGAGAACAGCCTCACACAGAGGACAGCCTCACACAGAGGACAGCCTCACACAGGGGACAGCCTCACACAGGGGACAGCCTCACACAGAGAACAGCCTCACACAGGGGACAGCCTCACACAGGGAACAGCCTCACACAGAGGACAGCCTCACACAGAGAACAGCCTCACACAGAGAACAGTCTCACACAGGGGACAGCCTCACACAGGGGACAGCCTCACACAGAGAATAGCCTCACACAGAAAACAGTCTCACACAGAGGACAGCCTCACACAGGGGACAGCATCACACAGGGGACAGCCTCACACAGAGAACAGTCTCACACAGGGGACAGCCTCACACAGAGAACAGTCTCACACAGGGGACAGCCACACACAGGGGACAGCCTCACACAGAGAATAGCCTCACACAGAGAACAGTCTCACACAGAGGACAGCCTCACACAGGGGACAGCCTCACAAAGAGAACAGTCTCACACAAAGGACAGCCTCACACAGAGAACAGCCTCACACAGGGGACAGCCTCACATAGAGGACAGCCTCACACAGAGGACAGCCTCACACAGAGTACAGTCTCACACAGAGGACAGCCTCACACAGAGAACAGCCTCACACAGAGGACAGCCTCACACAGAAAACAGCCTCACACAGAGAACAGCCTCACACAGAGAACAGCCTCACACCGGAACAGTCTCACACAGAGGACAGCCTCACACAGAGAACAGCCTCACAGAGGGGATAGCCTCACACAGAGAACAGCCTCACACAGAGGATAGCGTCACACAGGGGACAGCCTCACACAGGGGACAGCCTCATACAGAGAACAGCCTCACACAGGGGACAGCCTCACACAGGGGACAGCCTCACACAGGGGACAGCCTCATAAAGAGAACAGCCTCATAAAGAGAACAGCCTCACACAGAGTACAGCCTCACACAGAGGACAGCCTCACACAGAGGACAGTCTCACACAGAGGCAGCCTCACACAGAGGACAGCCTCACACAGAGTACAGTCTCACACAGAGGCAGCCTCACACAGAGAACAGCCTCACACAGGGGATAGCCTCACACAGGGGACAGCCTCACACAGAGAACAGCCTCATAAAGAGAGCAACCTCACACAGGGGACAGCCTCACACAGGGGACAGCCTCACACAGAGTACAGCCTCACACAGAGGACAGCCTCACACAGGGAACAGCCTCATACAGGGGACAGCCTCACACAGGGGACAGCCTCACACAGGGGACAGCCTCACACAGAGAACAGTCTCACACAGGGGACAGCCTCACACAGAGGACAGCCTCACACAGAGAACAGCCTCACACAGAGGACAGCCTCACACAGAGAACAGCCTCACACAGAGGACAGTCTCACACAGAGAACAGCCTCATACAGGGGACAGCCTCACACAGGGGACAGCTTCACACAGGGGACAGCCTCACACAGAGAACAGTCTCACACAGGGGACAGCCTCACACAGAGGACAGCCTCACACAGAGAACAGCCTCACACAGAGGACAGCCTCACACAGAGGACAGCCTCACACAGGGGACAGCCTCACACAGAGAACAGCCTCACACAGAGGACAGTCTCACTCAGAGAACAGCCTCACACAGGGGACTGCCTCATGCAGGATCAGGGGTCGCTTGTCACCAGACCAGTGAAGACTACTTTCAGTGTTCTAGAACTTGACCTTATGGGAATGGGAGGCCACAGCGGAGGGTGTGTGAGAGGCCCCCGGGTCCGGAGACTGTGGTCTGGAAGGCGTCATCAGCCTACCCCACAGGGCTAGCACCAGGCTCCCCAGACGAGCGGGGCCCGGCCAGGCCTCCAGTGGGCCTGGCTCCCCCCTGGGAGCCCTGTCTTCCGGCTGTCTACCAGCTAGCTGTTCCAGCATCTCTTCCCACCAGCTGGGTGAGCCAGGGCACATGAATCCCAGGGTGCTACCATCCAGAGATCTGACATGTGAACTGGGAAATGCACTTTGGGGACCAGAGGCTGGGAGGCAGCTATGGCTCGGGGCCTGAAGTCTGAGGCAGTGTGGACGCTGGTGGGGACTCTTGGGAGTGGGTCCTGCCCTGGCTTTAAAATCCAGCCAGAGTCAGATCTAGCCAAGAGAAGCCAAGAAAAGACCCCGACCCCTGGGCAGGCAGGAGTTGAGCTATCGGAAGGAGTCTGAATGTGTATGCATTCTGGCAGGCAAATGAATGGCTGGACCCAGACGCCCCTGCGGCCCGGCAGTTCTGGCCTTGCAGGTCAGCCCAGGGCCAACACTACTTCCCTAAGTCCCAGTGAGAAAGAAGCTTCTTGTCAACTGCCCCCAAGATGGGCGGCTGCCGTCCCAGTGGGGCACCATGGTGGGTGACTAGCTCTGCCCTCCACGGTTAGCGATGAGTGAATGGGTTTGAAACTTGCCACCAGGATATCACTTTCCCTCCCTGTGGCTGTGAACGTACCCTCGTTGCTCTGCCCTGAGCCAGGCTCCCGCTTGCTGAGGGCCTGGCTGCCTGTTCTGGTCCCTGTGTCTGTCTGTAGCTCCAAGTGACAGCAGAAGTCAGTTGGGGCTCAACTTAGGGCACCCAAGATTTGGATGATGCTCTATTGAGAGCAAAGCACAGCAGAGGGACTTGAACTCGGAGCCCAGGGGTACTGTAGGCCTGGAAAGCCAACCTCGTCTGCAGCCAGCTGGCCTTCGGTATCTGCGATCTGGTCCCTCCTGCCCTGGGGTGGGTGCCGGTAGATGCCCCAGGCCCTTCCCAAATCAGTGTCCCTCTTCCCCCCATGGCAGCTTGGTTGGGCTGTAGGCCTTGTCACCAGGGGGGGCGGAAGGCCTGGATCTGAATGTGAAGGGCAGGCTGGGTGCCAGCTGCTCCCCAGGGATGTGGTATCGGGTTCAGGCTTCATCGTCCCCACCCTACTGCCTCCTTGTAGCCAAGCCCAGGATGCCCCCTCCAGGAAGCCTCCCCGGATGACTCCAGGCTGCTTCCTAAGCTGGTGCTACACTTCTGACGGTGGCTGACGCGGAGCCGCTACTCTGTGCCTGCCCCCATGCAGGCCCGTCACCTCTGTGGCTTTGGAGACTCGTGGGAGAAGAGGCTGAGCGGGAAGGGGCTTGGGCCTTGCCCAGTGTCAGCATATTTTCGGGCATTTCTGTGTCTGACTGTCTGGGAGGGTGGGAGGTGCACAGATGCTACCCTCCCCCCAGGGCGTGGGGAGTCAGGGCCAGGGGAAGTCCTGGGTCGCTGAGGCACGCGGTACGTACCCACTTCACGGTGATGATGAGGACGGCCGTGCCGATGGGGCCCGAGTACACCCCGTAACCCTGGTGGTCGTGGTAGGTCCTGACCGCGATGGTCAGCACACCGAACATCACCAGTGTTGACCTCTGAGGCTCATCGAAGTCAGCCAGAGCTGGGGGCCGGGGACAGGCAGGTGCGGGGGGTGGTGAGCGGCCTCCTCCTCCCTCCCAGCTGCACCCCTTAGCTACCTCGAGCCCTCAGCCCCACGTCCATGACTAACAGGTGTGGGAGTGAAGCGGACCGGCTGTATCCACAGGGCTCCGGGGCTGACACAGGAGAGCTGTGAGTGGTCACGCAGGGCCCCCGGTGGCCCTCAGGCAATGGAGCTGCCTTCAGATCAAAGCCTTGGGGTTAAAACCCGGGGCCTGGGGCCTACCAGTGCTCGGGGACCCACGCCCCAGAGCCCAAGCGTGGGAGGGGCTTGTCTTCTGGAAGCCCGAACAAACAACTGTTCCTACGCGCGCTAGGAGGAAATCCTGGGCGGCAGAGGGTGATGGAGCTGGCGTGGGGAGCGAGGCAGGCTGCACAGGGAGGGAGGTGCTCTTAGAGCTGGGGTGGGCACAGCGGGCATCACTCACCCATCAGGGAGACCCACATGCTCAGGGCTGTCCCGTAAACACTGAAGTATTCCAAGATGTCGTGGCGGAGAAAGCAGAGCATGGAGAGGCCTGGGCCGCTGCAGGCGTGGTAGAACTGCGGGGAAATCGCGCATGGTCAGTGGGCAGGGGGGACGGGTGCTGCCCAGGAGGACAGGGGCCGAGCCGGAACCTGGTCCCAGGGGCCCAGGCTACTCAGGACCTGGGGCACACTTCATGACTCCTTCTGGGCAGTGGAGCACCGCAGCCTCCGCCCCTCACAGCGTCGGGGGGGACTGAGCAACCGTGGACATCGCCTGGGGAGGAAAAGCCTCTGACCTCTGACCTGTGTTCTGGCTGGGAATTGAGAATTGCTGGCTTCTGTCTCTTTGAAGAGACCCCCTGCCCCCAAGTGGGGGCTAAACCAGCACCTTCTTTCTCCTTGTCTTTTCCCCATATTCTCGAAGTTGTCTCCCAACTGCCTAACTGAATAGCTCTGTGTGTGTGTGGTGTGTGTGTGTGTGTGTGTGTGTGTGTGTGTGTGCATGTGTGTGCATGTGTGTGCCTGAGGCTTAAACTCAGAGCCTGGGCAATATCCCTTAGGTTTTTTTCTTTCAAGGGTCGTACTTTACCACTTGTACCAGAGCTCACTTCCAGCTTTTTGGTGGCTCACTGGAGACAACAGTCTCATAGACATTCCCACAGGGACTGGCTTTGAGCCATGATCCTCAGAATCTCAACCTCCTGAGGAGCCAGGATTGCAGGTGTGAGCCACCAGCTCCCGGCTTGAATAGTGATTTTTAAAGCAAAACGCTTCTTGTTTTCCAAGCCGTCTTACAGAGAACAGCTCTCTCTCTCTCTCTCCATCTGCATTCACATTTCATCATTTTAAGTAATATTTAATTACATGACATAATTATTTTGACAAGTTTGGCTGGCATAAACAAGCTTGGGAACTGGCACAATGGGCTCTTGGTGCCACCAGCTCGGCGGGAGGGAGCTGGCGTACTGGACCCCGGCCTGCGGGCGGCAGAGCTGCCATGGGAGCGAGGGGCTGGGGGTGATCTACAGCTCCTGCTGATGGCAACTGTAAGCAGACCAAAATTAAGGCCGTCTTGGAAGCACAAATAGAAATTCAGTGGTCCTCTTCTTTGTTCTGGTCAGAGCTGCCTAGATCCTGAAGCCACTGACACTGAAGACATTGGCAGAGAGGAGGGTAGAAGAGGGTAACTATTTAGCTATTTAGCTCAAGGCAAGAAGAGCTTCAGGTGAGGCCTCATCAAGGTAACTAAATGGAGAAGGGAGGAGATGTTCTATGCTGTTCTCTTGCCTTCGGCTCCTTGCAGAACCCCACCGTGCCCCTCCCCCATCATCGGTCTCTACTACCCTTTGCCCACAACTGCTGTGTGTGGTTAGGCCCAGTCACTGTGGCATTCTGGGAAAGGCCCATGCCCTGCCCTCCAGCAAGAGTGGGATTCGTCTGTCCTGTGCAGGCTGTGAGGCCAGCTCTAGGCACTGAGTGTGTGTGTGTGGGGTCCAGGGAGCGGAACCCGACACCCCCACCCTTGGGTCCCTCTGAAGTGGGAATTAGTCTGTGCCAAGCAGTACCTGTGCAGGGAGGAGGGGCAGGGCAGCCATCGGGGCCTCCAGGACCCTCCTCCTGACTGACCTGGCCTGGCAGGGGTGCAGTGGAGGCCTGTGGTCAGGCCTAGTACATCTTGCTCGGGGCTCCGACAAGAGGCTGTTGGCTCGGGCCTCTGAGAACACCAGCTCTGTGGATCTTTTAAGGGGTCTGTGGTACAGTGTACAGCGTGGTGTCCCTCACAGACCGCGGCCATGGTCAAGGAGGTCCTGGTTGGGAGGTAAGAGAGCTGGGGGGACGGAGAGGGGAGTCGGAGACTTGGAGGCCTGAGGACATTTGTCCCAGGAGGCAGCTGCCCCTGCCACTCCGGGCAGGGCTGAGTGGGCCTCTGAGGCCAGCCACAGAAGCAGCTGGGCCCAGCCCAGGCCCAGGCAGGGCAGGGTGGCGGGGCTGGGAACTTGGCCCGGGGAAGGCGATTCTGGCTTCGTTCTTGGCCCTGAGGCCTTGGCATGGCTTGGAGGTCCCTGTCTTGTCTTGGTGTCTTATCCGCTAATAGAGTCTCTGATCCTGACCCAGGTTGGCTCCCAGAAGGAGCAAGAGGGGCTGGGATGGGGCACAGGGCACGAGGCGGCTTCAGTGTGCTCACGTCCATGGTGACAACAGTGGCTCTGTATCCACTCCACCCAAGAGGAGTCCCAGTGCTACAGGAGGCGCTCAGGCTAAGAAGCTGTGCGCGGAGCCCCAGGCACGGTCCCCGCCCTGGGCGCTGGCTTGGGGCTCCTTGTCCTTGGTGTGAGGTGGGCATTGAGCGTGAGGGGCTCTGGTTCTTCACGGACTAGGCCCAGGAGGCTCACTGTTACCCACGACAGGGCCACAACGCGCCCCACAGCCCATGCGCATGTGTGGCTGCCTGTAAAACCAGATTTGACCGGCTCGGCACGGGGTGACCCGCGGATGAGTCTGGATCACGTGTGGGCGCTTGCCCATTGTGGCACGCTGCTGGGGAGAAAGGCCAGCCTGGGGTTGCGGCGCTGTCTCCCACAGGTCTGGCTCTGTTCTGAGTGGGAGGCTAGAGGCCCGTGAACCTCCTCTGCGCATGCGTCATACAAGGGAAGATGGAAGGGAGACCGTGGGAGGGAGCAAGCCTTAGAGAGGCCAGTAGTAGGGGAGGCAGAGGGACCCAGAGGCAGGAAGGAGGGCACTGAGAGAGATGGGCAATGGGTAGATGATAGACATGAATAATTAGATGATATGTAGACAGGTGATAGACAGATGGTGGATTAGGTAGCTGTTAGGCAGACAATTGATGATTAGGGAGACAATAGACAGACACCAGCCAGAGGACGGGCTAGACAGTCAGAGAGACCCCCAGGGGGTCGGGGGAAGGAAAAAACCTGGCAAAGAAAGATCGGGGGACTGAGGGCCAGCTGGAATTCTGTGGGGATACAGTTTCTGAAACAGAGAGAGAGAAATTGAGAAACAGGCAGAGAGAACAGAGAGGCGGAGCGGGAACCTCACACAGAAAACCAGCAAGGCAATGGGAGCCGTGGGGAGGGGGAGGCAGAGGGCCCAGCGATGGAAATCACCCCGTGACAGTTACCTGGAAACGGCGGGGAGCGGGGAGAGAGCCGGGAGCCCATCAGCTCGCCAGAAATAGAACAAGAAAGAAGGATCTAAGAGAGGCAGGCTCTGGGAAAGGGAGCCAGCAGCAGAGAGGCACCCGCCCTTCCCCCCTAAGGACGGCTCAGAATCCTGGGATCAGGCTCACCTGGGCCTTTCACATTTCCTGGACCCCCCCTGCCCTCCCCTCTCCGTCCCCGTTTCCAGCCCCCCCCCCCCCCCCGCCTGCCCCACGGCCAGCAAGTAGGCAGACTGGGTGAGCCAGGCTAGCAAGGTGTTAGCTGGAAGAGAAGTGCGAACAGGGCAAGCTGAGCCCAGAAGGGCTGCCGTGGCTTTTGAGTCATCCCCGAAAACAGTCTGACCCAGAAGGAAACTGAGGCAAAGAACGGGAGGCACTCAGGGAAGCCCGCTCTCTAGATCCCCATTCTGCAGCTCTTTGGGACACTTCCAGATCATCTCTCTCCCCCCAGCACCCGGGACAGGGGCATGAGCCCTCCCCGAGGTGCGCCCTCCCGGCCCCCACACTCACCGCCACGAAGAACATGGTGAACACGTAGACCATGGCTTCCATGTGGAAGCGCCTCTTGGCAGCGATGCTGACCGGGGGCAGAAAGGCCAGGCTGCTGAGGGTAGGCAGGAGCAGTTTGGCCACGAGGGACCCCATGGGGCAGGCCGAGGCGTGGGCGCGGGCTTCCAGCACCCCCAGGGCCAGGCGCTCTGTCCAGCAGGCTCCTCAGGACGCAGCTGTGTGGCACCACGAGGAAGGCTCAAGTGGCCCGCAAGCCTGCGTCCAGCGACACATGCAGGCCCCAGCAGCTGACGGACCACGTGCTCCGCCCTGGGTGGCTTTTGTTTTTGGTTTGTTTTTTTCAGATGCTGGAGGAATGGATTCAAGGCGGTTGTATTTCTTTTTCTCTGGGGCCACTGCCTTTGGGGGCATACCCCTCCCCCCACTTTTCCAACCCTCACACACAGATTGTGCGTTCTGCTTGTGTGGTGACCCCACGGGGCGAAGGGGGGTGTCCCAGGGGAGAGAACGGGAAGGGGAGTCTCCTTGCTTGAAGGACCTTGGAGATAATCTTCTGGCTTTATCCACCCACAAGCATTACTTACTTGCCTTTGATTTCATCAGGAAAACAGCTTTAGCTGCCATTTATTTTATTTATTATTATTTATTTATTTATTGGTCATGGGGCTTGAACTCTGGGCCTGGGTGCTGTCCCTCAGCTCTTTAGCTTAAGCTGAGTGCTTTGCCACTTGAGCCACAGCACCAGTTCCGGCTTTTTTTCTGCTTATGTGGTGCTGAGGAATCGAACCTAGGGCCTCATGCATGCAAGGCAAGCGCTCTACCACTGAGCCACCTTCCCAGCCTTGCCATTTATTTATTTATTTAGTGATTTGGGGGCCTTATGCTTGCTAGGCAAGTGTTTTATTCTTTGAGCCAGGCCCCTGACCTTTTGTGTGTTTGTTTGTTACTTTAATTTGCTTACTTTAGATAGAGTCTCAAGTTTTCTCTCCAGGCTGCCTGGCCTCAGACTGTGATCTTACCTCTGCCTCCCAAGGAGCTAGAATTACAGGCTTAGGCTAACCATTCCTGACTTGTTTTTGTTTTTGAGATAGGGCCCACTCACTTTTCTACCAAGTTAGCCTTGACTCTTGATCTTCCTTCCTGGTAGCTGGGGTTATAGGCATATGCTACCATGCCTGGCACTACCAGTTAATTTTGTCCTGATGGCATAATTTGAACAGGACAAAGCATACAGATTTGAGTTGGGTTCTGTCAGGTACATACACAGATGTAACCCCCCACAGTGATCTCACTGTCAGCATCCAGAACATTCCCTGGCTTATTTGCTGGTAAGCCCTCTAGTAGAAGCAGCCACTGTTGTGACTTCTGCCCTAGGCATGACTTTGTTCTGGACTTGACAATGGCACGTGTGGTGTGTGCCCTAATGGGTCTGGTGGCTCTCATCTTACCTACACAATGCCAGTGTGTATGGTACACTGTGGCCGGTTCCATTATCTGGGTGAATTGTGTTCCTGTGTCCATCTTCCTGAGAACTGAATCTGGGGTGGGCAGCATGCTCAGGGATTGATGGTGTGAAGCCCTTCCAGGAGGAACTGCCAGGCCCGCCTGCTCTGTGAGGTCTGGGGTCCTCTGTCTGTCTGTCTGCTCCCAGATCCCCTCCCAGAAGCCCCTTCCTTGCTGGAAGTTGCCCGGGGCCCATTTCCGCTGTTTGCAATGAAACATCCCATTGGCGGCACCTGCTCACATCCTTCACCTCCAGAAGCCTGGGTATCACAGACACCACAGGCCAGATATGGCCGGGAGCTGTGTCCGGTCCCCACGACAGGCTGCCCTCAGCCCGAAGCGCCTCCCAGCCTCGGTGCGGGACAGAGCTGTGCTGCTCTGTGAGCACCTTGCTCACGTGCGCTCTGGACAGAGTGTTGGAGGGGAAGACCTCGTGATTGACCGGGGAAGACCTTGTGATTGACAGCACAGTGTGTCCCCCCCGTCTGTCCGTCTGTCTGTCCCTCCCCCCCTCCCCGGTCCGGGCCATGGGCACCAGCCACACCGTGGCAGAGACACGCTTGAGTTGACTGGCTTGGGCTGTTATCCGCTGGACTGCGTGGTCTGGGATGGGGGTCTGGCTGACGAACTCTCTCCCCTACCCACCCGCTGTGTCCAAGCCTGGAATGTTTTGTGGATCACCACCAAGTACTGGCTGAATGAATGACTTTGTGAAAAGAATGAATGAAAACCCAAGGAGGTGTGGCTGGTTTCAGTCTGGCCGCGGGAGCGCGATTCCCGCTCCAAATGAGAAAACCAGGCTGTGCTGTGCATGGGAGATGCACCAACCCTGGGGGCGCCTCATGTCGGGACCCTCACCGTCCTGGAGCTCAGCTGCAGCTCTCAGCCCCTGCCCCCTCCCCCGCAGGGGTGGGGGAGGACGGGGCGGCGTCAGGTGCTGGGAGAGGCGCACGGAGCGCTCTTCAGAACCCCTTGCAGCCGCGGCAGGAAGACATTCCACAGTTGGTTTTGTGCATGACTGTGTCTGGGGGTGGGGGGTGGGGGGTGGCAGCTGTGAACTGCAGAGCCAGGCTATGAGCTTGGAGAAGGAAGGCGCTGGGGGTACAACTGCACATGTGTTACAATGATTAAGGAGGAAGGAGGCTGGGGAGGGGATGGCTAGGCCTGGGGTAACCAGGGAGCCCCGGCACCAGGGCTAAACCATGGCGGGGGGCATGGCAGAGAACAGCGTGGAGGTGGGGGCAGCTGTGTATGGCTCTCGTCCCAGTCTAGCTGCCTGGACACAGACCAGCTGACCGTGGAGAAGGCATCCAGCTTGGAACAGGACTGAAATGACCCTCGGTTCTCCCCAGAGCAGGGGAAGCAATTTGCCTGGGGCCTGGGCGTGGGGAGGAGGAGTGGAGAAGGCTGTGTTTTCTCGGGGGTGGGGGTGGGGTGGGGTGGGGTGGGGGAGGCGGTGTTGCTATCCATGGAGGCCTGGGGAGGGGTCAGAACTGGACCAGGCCCAAAGCCCACTGCCTGGGCAGGCTCAGGCCAGCAGAGATGTGCGCTGGCTCCTCGCGTCCCTCCTGGTCCCCGACCTCTCCACCTGCCAGCCCTCCGAAGCCCACAGCCTTGTGTTTCCCCTGCCCGGCTCTGGCCTCTGTTGAGCCTGCTCTTGGTAGCTTTAGTCTTCCAAGACTGCAGTGACATGGTGAGGCTTCTCCCAGCCCCGTGTCACAGTGAGTGTGTCTTGAAAACCTCTACACACAGGGATGTCTGTTACGTACACGGATGTCTGTTACGTACATGGATGTCTGTTGTGTACATGGTTGTCTGTTGTGTACACGGATGTGCTGGCCACGTGTCAAAGACTCTTCTTACTGTGTCCCATTGGGCCCTCTCCGAAGCTGGTCCGCCTGCCGCCATGGAACAGAGGGAGAGATGGAGGGCCAGAGGAGAGAAGGGACTCACTCAAGATCATCTAAGTGTCCTTGGCATTCTGTCAGCCTAGAAAGATCAGAGCTGTGTGGTCTACCCCTGGACCCCAGCTCTTGGAATGACTCCAAGGGTCCCAGGCAGCAGGTGGCGCTGCTCCAGATGGACCCTGGCAGGGGTCCTGGGGCCATTGAGGGGGGAATAAGGGCTGACTTGCCTGCTCCCCCCCCTCACCCCCTCAGTCACAGGAGTGGCAGTTTTATAGAGGTGCCGAAATGCCTGGAATGCCACTCAGCTCCCGCCCCCCAGGACAGCTGTCTGTCTGCCCAGCCCGGATTGCAGGGCCAGCTGCTGTATTTATGTCCTCCAGATTTTGAACACTGGGCCATCTCAGAGCACAGAGGCTTAGGCTCCGCCTCTCCTGTGGGGTCCATTGACCCCCCCCCCCCGGCACCTGTGTGGAGAGACCAGGCTTTGACGCCCCCAACTCTTTCCAAGGGGGCCCCACGCTGGGTGGGCCATTTAAGCCTCTGCGTGTGTGCGGGGTGATGTGTGCGTATCTGCATCTGGGATTGTGCTCAGGAGCCGGGCGGCGCCTTCAGCTGCTGGCCGGAAATGAGCAGCTTGAGATCCTACTTCACCCCGGCTTCTGAACACCTGCCAGGTGGGCCAGGCCCAGTTCCGGCTTCCTACCTAGCACCAGGACCTCAACAGACCCTTAGGTCCTCTGAGCCTTAGTTTCCTCATCTGCCACTAGACTTGGAGATGCGCCCACCTCCAGTGTGGAGCCCTGGCTCCACATAGGGCTGTTGGGCTCCTAGCGCTGGGTCATTTGTCGGCTGGCTGGGGACTCCTCACCCTCTGAGGGGTGACTGGATGGAGCCCCGGGCCCGGATGCTAGAGCAGGGCTGGATTCCTTGCATGACACTGCGCCTGTCACCTGCTCCTGCGCTGCTGCCTGAGGCCTCCCTGGGGACAGAGGCGGCAGTCATTACCAGGGTGTGGGGGGGGGTGGGGAGCGGAGACTTGGAAGGTCTCCCTCTGAACCCCCAGGACGCCGTATCCGTGGGTGGTCACAGTTGCCTTGAATCTGGGACCTCTCAGAGGCCGGGGGCTGGGGTGGGAGGACGGAGGCCTGGAGGGCTCAGAGAACCATGCAAAGGGTCACCACCTGCGGAGGTCCTGACCCCACAGGCTGTCTTCCAGGTGTCCAGCCCATGCTGTCCCACCAGGCCAAGAGAAGATGCTGGGGAAATTTGCTGGTGCGGGGGAGGGCGGTAGGCCCCTGCCTAAGCCAGCCACCCTGGCACCCGTGGCTATGGAGCCAGATGTATCAGGAGAGCAAGGCCTGTGCCACGGTGTATAAGGCCTGGCAGCTGTCCAGGGGAGAGGAGAGCTGAGTGCCGGAGGCTTCCAGAGCAACCCTGTGTCTGTGAGAGGGCCTGTGTGCATGCGCGTGTATGTTAGTGTGTGCTTGTGTGCACGCATGGGTGTGCATGTGTATACACACATGAGCATGCATTTGTGTGCATGACCAGTGCTGTTTGACGGGTTCTGATATGACTGCGCTTCAGCACACTGACCCCAGGGGGCAGTGTGGGCCTGGGTTAGGATTAGGGGAGGCAAAGGCCGTGCGGAGCAATGGCTGGACACCCAGGTCTGAGGGCAAGAGACCAGAGGTGGGCTCCAAGGGGCACTGGCCATCTGCACCTGCC